GGAAACATACTTTCTGAACTTTTGAGTTAGGAATTCTGAAAATAAACATCCAACAACAACAACAACAACAAAAAATTGCTCGAAGATATATATTGGATTTGCCTGTTTCTAAATTAACTACACATGAGTTAAAACCTCTCTTTGATATTTTAGAAAAAAATAATAATCCTAATTCACCAAGGGTACTCACAGAAGTCACGTCATTAGCATTGCAGAAAATTCAAGACTCTATAAAGAATTCTTCTTTATCTTACATTAATTATGACAAAAAGTTATCATGGTGTATACTTAATACTGAAAATATACCTACTGCAGTCTTACGGCAAAATGTGCCATTACATTGGATACATTTGTCAAACTCTCCAAAAAAGGTTTTGTGGATTTGTCCACAGGCTGTGTCTCAATTGGTGAATCAAGGTAGGAGTCACTGCAATGTTTTATTATAAGACCTTATGAAATAATTTTCCCTTATAATACTTTACAAGTTAATTGGCTATATCAATATTGTTCAGAATGGATAACTGCATTAGCCAATTATCCTGGTCAAATTGCTCATCATTATCCAAAAGATAAATTATTATATTCTGCAAATAAAAATTCATTTATATTTCCTAGAGTTTTGGTTACTCTACCAATTTCTGATGCTCTTGTAATACTTACTGATGGATCTTCCAGAGAAAAGGCTGTTTTTGAACCAATTGGAGATTTTAAAATAGTTGAATGTTTATAATTTTCAGCACAACGAGCCAAACTAAAAGCTATGAAGCAATATTAATTATTTACCCTCAGTGTTTATATAGTTAATGCACTTCCAATTATTGTTACAGTAAATATTCTCAAAACAAAAATTCTATAGTTTTATAATTATTTCATAATATTCAATTATTAATAAGACAAAGTAATAATCATATTTTTATAAGTCATACTAGGCCTCTTTCTTCTTTACCAGAACCTTTAGCAAAAAAATATAAATTGGCTAATAAATATTTAATACATTTTAATTTAACAAAAGCAAAATAATTTCATCATAGTCATCATGCTAATAGTAAATATTTACATAAAATGTTTCATATTCTAAAAGAAATGGCTAAAATATTGTAAAATCATGTGAAAAATGTTTATCTTTATTACTTGTTCCACATTTTAAAGTAAATCCTAAAGGATTATTGCCAAATCATATTTAACAAATAAATAATGTAGCTCACATTCCTAAATTTGGAAAATTGTAATTTGTTCATGTTATTATTATTATCATTATCTTGTTTATCTGAAAAAGCAACTAAATATGTTAATAAAACATTGTTTATTAGCTTTTTCTGTATTAGAAATTCCTAAAATAATCAAGACTGATAATGCTCCTAGCTATACCAGTAAAAGTTTTCAAAATTTTTGTAAATATTTTAATATTTGTCATAAAACTGAAATTCCTTACGATCCTCAGAAACAAAAACATACTCATTCCACTATCAAAAATTATGTTAATAAAATTAAAGAAGGGGGAACTGGAATACTATATCCCCTAAATGCCAATAATTATATTTCTCATTTACAATTTATTTTAAATTTTTTCATTTTAAATGGCAATAAAAGATCTGCCACAGACAGACAATGGGGAAACATACAATGAAAGTATGCTGAAATAAAATGGAAGGATGCATTAACAAAGCAATGAAAGAGACCCGACCCTATGTTAATATAGGGTTGAGGCTATATTTGTGTTTTTCCACAGAACACTGAAAGTACAAGGTGGCTTCCTGAAAAGCTGGTACGCTTTGCAGAAGATTTCTCACCTGAAATAAGGATGGTGATATTGCTGACTCTGACAATGAGGATTCAAGCTGAATCTTAAAGGACCTATGTTCCAGATCCACCCTTACTTCACCCTCTCAGCTGGAGGAAAATGTTACTGTAGATTTAAACTTGTACAACTGGGCTTTATCAGATAAAGTCGAAGCTAAAGGATCAGCAGAAGAAATTTGGACTGTTAATCACCGTAATTATCAAACTGAACTATGGAAATTAGTTGCAAGTATGGGATCAATAGATATTTCCTGTATCCCAAAGGATAAATGTCAAGGAGATAGTATCACCAATGCCAAAGTCATGTCTTGTGGACCTGAACCATATGTTTTATTAATTGGAAATAATGTAATCACTGGTGATTATCCAAAATATAATGTAAGTTGTTCTCATTGTAAAAATCTCTAACTGTATCAGCTCTATTACCAAAGATGACTCAGTTGTTATTCTAAAGAATCCTCCTTTTGTTATGACACCAGTAAAGTTAAATGATATTTGATATGATGATAAAAGCTTGCAAATTTTAAAAGAGTTATATAAGTTATCACTAAGAACCAAAAGAGCTATAGGCCTTGTTATTGTAGGAATGGTTTCTCTTACCTCTATGCTTGCTGCTGTCTCTACTTCTGCTGTAGCTTTGACACAAAAAGTTCAAACAGCTAAGTTTGTAAATGGGTTAATGCATAATGTAACAAAAAAATTGGGTAGAGCAAGAAAATGTGGATGGAGTTATGGAACAAAAATTAAATGCTTTATATGATAAGATAAATGTATCAGGAAACATGGTACAACAAATTAGAATGAAAGGAAAGTTAAGATGCCACGCAGCCTATAACTCTATTTGTGGTGTTGTTGTTGTTATGTGCCTTCGAGTCATTTGTGACTCATAGCGACCCTATGTACAACAGCCTTAAACCCTGCTCTATCCTGTGCCAATTGCACTGCCTCTGAAA